GGGGGGGGGGGGGGTTCCCGGAATTCCCGGGAAAAATCCGTAGGAAATCCGCGGGATTGCGTGGGAATAATTGGAAGTCCAGGAGGGATCCGCGGGGATACGTGGAAATCCTTGGGAAGCCATGGGAATCCATGGAAATCCATGGGAAATTAATGGGAAATTAATGGGAATCCATGGAAATCCATGGAAATACTTGGAAATTCATGGAAATCCATGGAAATTCATGGAAAATTAATGGGAATCCATGGGAAATTCATGGAAAATTAATGGGAATCCATGGGAAATCCATGGGAATCCATGGGAAATTAATGGGAAATTAATGGGAAATTAATGGGAATCCATGGGAAATCCATGGAAAATTAATGGGAATCCATTGAAATTCATGGAAAATTAATGGGAATCCATGGGAAATCCATGGGAAATTAATGGGAATCCATGGAAATTCATGGGAAATTAATGGGAATCCATGGAAAATCCATGGGAAATTAATGGGAATCCATGGGAAATTAATGGGAAATTAATGGGAATCCATGGAAATTCATGGAAATCCATGGGAAATTAATGGGAATCCATGGAAATTCATGGAAAATTAATGGGAATCCATGGGAAATTAATGGAAATCCATGGGAAATCCATGGGAAATTAATGGGAATCCATGGGAAATTAATGGGAATCCATGGAAATTAATGGGAATCCATGGGAAATTAATGGGAATCCATGGGAAATTAATGGGAAATTAATGGGAATCCATGGGAAATTAATGGGAATCCATGGGAAATTAATGGGAATCCATGGAAATACTTGGGAAATCCATGGGAAATTAATGGGAATCCATGGAAATCAATGGGAATCCATGGGAAATCAATGGGAATCCATGAAAAATAATTGGAATCTATGGGAAATTAATTGGAATCCATTGGAAATCCTGGATAAATCCATGGGAATCCATGGGAAATCAATGTGACTCCATGGGAATCCATGGGAAATCAATGGTAAATCCATGGGAATCCATTGGAATCCATGGGAAATCACTGGGAATTTTGAGAATCCATGGGAAAATCCATGGGAATCCATGGAAAATTAATGGGAAATCCATGGGAATCAATGGGAAATCAATGGGAATCCATGAAAAATCAATGGGAATTTTGAGAATCCATGGGAAAATCCATGGGAATCCATGGAAAATCAATGGGAATCCATGAAAAATAATTGGAATACATGGGAAATTAATTGGAATCCACGATAAATCCATGGGAATCCATGGGAATCCCTTGGAATCCACGGCAAATCCACGGGAATCCCCGGAATTCCGTGGGAGATCCCGATCCGCAGTGGGAGCCCGGAGCAGAACCAACGAGAGGCAGAACAAAACCCCTCAGGAGGCGGCTCGGGGCCATCCCGGCGCCGGGGATTTGGGGAATTCTGGGAATTTTGGGAATTTTGGGAATGCTGCTGGAGCCTGTCCCTGTGCTGTGCTCTCCTCTCCGGGCAGACATCGTGGGCACGCTGCGGCCCGACGAGAAAGCCATCATGACCTACGTGTCCTGCTTCTACCACGCCTTCTCCGGGGCCCAGAAGGTGAGCCCGGCCCCGGGGATCCGCCTGGCAGCGGGATCTGATCGGGATCTGGCCAGGATCCGCCTGGCAGCGGGATCTGATCAGGATCTGATCGGGATCTGGCCGGGATCCGCCTGGCAGCGGGATCTGATCGGGATCTGATCGGGATCCACCTGGCAGCGGGATCTGATCGGGATCTGATCGGGATCTGGCCAGGATCCGCCTGGCAGCGGGATCTGATCGGGATCTGATCGGGATCTGGCCAGGATCTGCCTGGGAGCAGGATCTGGCCGGGATCTGCCTGGGAGCAGGATCTGAT